GCCGTGAAGTTATTTTTGCCGCTATACACGTAAGAGTGGGGCTCGCATTGAGATACAGTTAGTGCGACAGTCAATGCGAGCCCCACTCTTACGTGTATAGCGGCAAAAATAACTTCACGGCGCTTATATACGGATGCTTGCCTCGGTCTGTACATACAACACCTGTATTCACCGTTATTTTGTCAAAAGATTGTACAGTACAACCTCTCTTGGGGGAACACCTCCTCTTAAGGAACGGATTTGAAATATATTCTGGATTTTCTATACCTATAACTGAACCTCCCTTGGAGAAATCCTCTCTATAAGAAACACTCTGGCTATGTTCCCGTGTTGCCGTTCCACCGTTCCCTATGGAGAGGTTGCACTGTATAACAATTAGTATAAGAATTCATTGCTTTTAATTTATAACCATTGTAAAAGTAAAATCTTTATACATTTGTTGATTAAAAAATAATTATTAAAACTTTGAATAATATTCGTTGTTAGAGATGTTGAATATCAAAGTTAGTATCAATTTGTATGCATTTTGGGCGTAAAATGCCATAAAACTAATGTTTTTGTTATAAGATGAATAGGGGATACAATTGCTGATTATTTGTTGCTTTTAATAATTTGCTGATTATTATTCACTAAAATAACATGTTTTATGTTTCTAACAATTCCTTAAAATTTCATTCAAATATTCTATCAAACTAGCATAATATTATGCTGTACAATGATTTCCGAGTTCAACAAGGTCAATAATCAGTGATTTTAAAACCAAACATTATTAATACCTAAATCAAACATTTCATATAATAATTCTTAATTAGGAAATATATTTTAGCAACATTTATATTGCTGTTTATGTCTCACCCGTATTATTTTTGTACAGATATTATAATATGACTTCAGATTAGATAAATGGCAATAATATCTCAAATAAAGATTACAATACATATTTCATGTCCCGTATTATGAAATGAAACACTTTTCAATGATTTTATGAAATTATATTATTTTTGCAAAATATTTAATTAACTTTGTTATAAAGTTAACGGTTGAGCATAAATAATTAAATAAATATTAACAATTGAAATTGTTGTTTTCTCGCATTAAAGAAAAACAAGTTTATGTTTATTTAAATGACTATTTTTTAAAACCCGATTCTTTAAAATATACATTGTATTTCTATTAAGACATGGAATATTATCCCCATTTACTTCATTTATTACATTATTTGTAAAATTTATTTTAAATGCAGTTCAATATTTTAATAAATTAATTCTAATATTAATTAATCTAAAAATTTTGTATTAATTAAAATTGTTTCAAAATATTCTACGAAAGGAATAACGTTTTGGTCGGGACTGACATTTAAGCTATCATTGAATAGATAAGCATTATATATAAAAAACACAATTAAAAAGTTGTATTGGCATCGCTTTTATCTGAGAATTTGTCATAAAAATAGTTTATTTTGATTTTCTTTGAAAAAAGCTATTTTAATAAATATAAAAAACGTATTAAATATATAATTAAGAATATAAAAATGTAATTAATATATACTGTATTTAATTTTTTCAATCATTAATAATGATTCATTATATGTTTTACTACAAATAATTTGACTGAAAGACATCGATTTTAAATAAATACAGGGTATATAAATATTTGTAATTAACATCTAGTTGATATTTATTATTCACTAACAACTTCATGCTCTTATAAAATACTTGTGTATAACTTATAATATCTCAAGTTAATAGCTTATATTATTTCACATATTATTATTAAATACAGAATATAATACTGCATAATATTTAAAGAAATAATCAATGAGTTACTGTATGCCATTGAAATCAAGTCACAGTAATATATTATTTAAAAATAAAATGTTATACATTATAAGCGATATAAATAGTAATCTGTAATAACAACGAATAAATTATATTTCTAATAATAGTACTCATTATTTTCAATCAAATTTTTCAAATGAATTATGTTTTTGCATATTTAATCAAATCTTCCGATTCGCTCAACAGATATGTGAATATAATAAATGATTTGTTTCATTAAATAGAGTACTGTTTTAAAATTGTTTCTAACATTTATCACTAAATTAAAACACATCTAAAATTAAATGCAAATTTTCTGCATAATATGTGTATTTTCTGTATATTATACTGTGTTTATGTTTTTATTGATAATATTTTTAGATAAGTTAAAGAATTTGTGTTTATTTATAAAATGCTAAAATTAAAAATATTTAATCTTTAATTATTTTTAAGCCAAAAATTATTATAACGTTATATGCAATTAAATAATCAATCGATTTAGTCATTTGCTATTAGAGAATATTTAAAAACATTGCAATATTCAGCACAAAAACACAAATATTTGGTATTTGCAAACTTATCGATCGGTTTCTATACCCAGAAGTTACTCAAAAATAAGGAAGTGTTACACATTATAAATGGTATATAAACAGAGAATATTCTGCATAACAACAAACTATTCTATAAAATTAGGCAATGATTTGAAAGAATTTAACAGAATTAACATAAAATGAATGAATACTTACAAAACTTCTTGGATTCAGTGGCGATACGATAGCAAAGAGTGAGAATCAATGAAATAATTGGCACTTTTGTCACAATTCAATACAAATGACACGAATATGAGTGAAGAAAATGTTTTTACAATTGAATGGTATATTGCGTTGAGTGTTGTAGTAAAGGGCGGATTGGCTCCGATTGTGCGCCAAAACTCATTTATTCAATACAATTCATCTCAGATAACATGTTATATGAAAATGCAGTTTATTGTACAAACAATTAACTAAAAATATCAATACAAACAATAGGGAAAACAAATAATGAAAAAAATAGTTTTAAAACATATAAAATATTATTATGTCATTAATTAAAATAAATTTTATATAAGAACTTTTCTATTCAAAATTTTTAAACAATTATTTAAATATATATTTATTGAAAAATATGTACAATTATATCATATAAATATAATTCATATGGAATTGTTTTGTTGGCATTTAAACAGTCATTCGGTCCATTAAACCAATCAAATTAATTCTCGAAAACACCCAAAAATATATAAAAATTTAACAAAAAAAACTCCTGAAAATAATCAGTATTTCGAGAAATATGTCAAAAGTTTCCAAATCCATGGAATCGTCAGTTAATAAGAGACTAGAAGTAATTTAATTCAATATATTTTGGCTCCAATTGGCTTCAAATCAAATAAGACGTCTTCATCGATGCCCTCCAATAGTCTTTTGGACTCAATTTCTCCAGACTTTGATTCCCTGTCCGCGACATTGTGTTTGTCTATGGATTGCAAATGGCATTCATATAATGGTTGTTGCGGTCAACTGATGTGAGCCATACCTTACCGTTGCTGTTATCTAACGCTTTAATAAATACATGGAATCCTATTCCCACTAAACACACGATGAGTCCAATGAAGTTAAGTCGACTCATTTGGTCGCCGTTGTAGTTGACGGCCAGATATAGAGTGAACACCTCTTTGAAAATGCCTGCTATAGAGAGTGTGAGACTTGAGGTATACGTTAAGAGCAAGAATTCGCTGAATTCCATGAGAAACGCCAAAACAGAGCCAATCATTATTAGACTAATTGTGTGCCACAAAAGCTCGCTATCGCTTAGTATTTGACTAATTGTTATTTTGCTTTGACTGAAAGGTATCGCTTCAAACACTAGTGTTAACGGTATTAAACCTGTTATCAAATAATAAATTAATTTATAACAATTCATAGCAAGTCAACAATTATATAACAGCATGTGACAAAGCAACAAGCACATTTATATTTCATACCTACTAGCATCCATGGTTGGATGTGATACATCATATCCAATGGATTGCTTAAACCTAGTCATAAATAATTCATTTAATTATAAAACATAAAAAAGTTATACTTGGTGACATTTAATTTTAAATGCATTTAATTCAGAGTGTGTTAAATAGTAATTAGACAAAGATCTTTTTCTATATCACTACAGTGAAACATCTATGTTATCAACCATTTATTCAACTATGTTATTAAATGCATTTGGTTGATAACATAGAGGGCCATTCAAATAAATTAAAAGTGAGTTTTCGTGTGTCACGTATACTGAGTTTTCATATTGGTTGACAGGATAGAGGTTGTTATACATAGAGATGTCACAAATTTTGAGCCAAATGTGTTGATATGATAGAGTAGTTGACAACATAGAGGTTATTTTAACATTATGTGTATCAAGTCTGGGTTTTGGTTGATAACATAGAGGAGTTGACAGCATAGATGATTGACAGGACAGAGATCTGACTGTACTCATTAAGAGGTGACGTTTGTATAAAATATTTGCATACATTTGTATAATTATTTTAGCAATAAATATAAAGAATAAAAAAGCAAATGTCATGTAATTGTATTTAAAAGCTATTAAGTAAATAAACAACAGTAAGACATAGTTTGTTATGCATTAAAATTGGTTCATAAAGTTGAAGGATATGTAAGAAACTTAAAGAACAAAATATAATACGATTGACACTGAAATGAATTCGTAAAATAATTAGCATTTCCTTTCTAATCGATTGCTTGACACAAATCAATCTACAAATACTTCACTCGTTTATGAGTGCAATAAAACAAAAATTTAAATAATTTTATATTGCATTCGCAAAAATATATGCAAAGCAGACATTCATTATTGTTATTACAAATATTAAAGATAAATGCAATTGATTTCATACCGACTTCTTTGCGTTGCATAACAAGCTGTGAAAGAGTCCAACGAAGGCCTCCTTTAATGCAAATCAATATCAATTAAATATCACAAATAAATTGACGATCGGTTTTGATTGCATACCTAATAACGAAGCGCTTAATACTAATAGAAAGCCCTGTATTTGAAATTGAGTTGATTGATAGGTAAACATAAAGAGTCCGCTCGATATCAATGAGACCACAATTA